GGGGGGCGCCTAAAGTAGACTTTTACCTGGAAATATTTATATCTTTTTTTCTTCCAAAAAGATGAATGCGCCATAAGAACATAAAACGCCATAAAACAGATGCTGGACATTTTGGCGACCTGTCCTCTACAAAACCTCTGGCTATGCTGGTGGTTCTATATGTGTCATTCCCAGACCCTATTATGATGGTACAATATTTCAAGAACTACATTCACATCAATGGAGTTCACAAAAAGAAAAGCATGATTCATCAATTAGAAAATATTTCATTCTTAGTAAATACCAAAGACCCCTAGTGCCCCCCCCCCCCAACAAACTACAGGTGAAAAGGCAAAAAAAATTAATATCAGCACTTCTTACATTGGTTTCTTCGACTGAAGCCTAAAACATGCATTTGTAACTGTGCCCATTTCTACAGTTTTACGGTGTATTCACTCAATTTAGATCATCCAAGGGGCGGACTGTTGGACTGTTTCGACTCTGTTTGTCAGGGCCAGTCCGGGCTGTGAGGGACACAACATAAATAAATAAAACAAAAATTATGAAAAATTTGTGCATTTCTTTTTCTGAACAGTCTACCAATTACAAAATACATGAAATCCCAAGGAACAACACATCTTTCTCTTCTCTTTTTAAATTACGAAAATCAAAACCTATGGTTACAACTACGAGGAAAAGTTCTCTTTTCTGTTCAGAGCAAGAACATGATTGACAAGATTCAGGTCATTAAGGAGGCAGGCTGCTCCAAAACGGCTTGACTAAACCAACAGTGGCCGTGTGGCACACAGCATCCAAGCATACCTCCCTCTCAGGGGAACCAAACTCACATCTTTTGCCAGGAAGACAAAGAAACTAACCACCTAACAATTACACCACAGACATCAATCAATGTTCTTTTCTCTCCGATAATTTGATCAATATGCCACACATAGAAAAAATCAGATTTAAAACAAAATAAATTATGTGAAAATAAAATCAGGAGTTAACCTTTAAAAAAGTTAGGAAAAAAAAACACCTGCTTCAATATTTCTGATTTTTTTAAAAACAAGAAACTAGAGCAATATCTTGATCATTTAGAACGTATCTCTTGATTTTGCCTTTACAAATCTGTGAACATAAAATACATTCCTGTATTAAACAATTTCCCGGTGAAAATTTGTGGTAAACTTCTCATAAAGGTTAAAAATGTTTATGTACAGAATATTCATAATATGACTATTTATCTATAAGCAGTGATATGACATAACAGTTAATTCCACACACTCGAGATGGGTGAACAAAATCACCCACAAACCACACATTCTGACAGGATTCTCAATAGTTGTAGACAAAAAAAATAATTTTAGCCCCCCCCCCCATTCAGAACTCAGTTGACCTACTAAGCACATTCAAGGCCTCAACTCTCGTTTGGGGCATAACGTTGAGGTCACTATGTAGTATGAGGAAATGCACAAAATAAGTTTTTATCCTAAGAGGAGTCGAAATTCACTTTTACCTGCATGTACACATACACCAGGCATGCAAGCCTGCAGCCAAAGGTACATATGGACTCTCACACATACACACAAACACTCACTCACACACACACAGGTACCAAAAGTCGTCAGGTAGAGCTGAACACATTCAAGACCTCCCCCCTTCCTTATTCTCTGGCCAGCTACCTTCCCTCTATTAACTGTACTCCTCTCCCTCGCTTCCGTCCTTTCTGCTTGTGCAGGAGCTCTATCTGTCAACCTCCTTCTTTCTCTGTCTTCATTTCTTCTCTATCCTTTCAGCCTCTCTTTCTTTCTCCATAATTTCTTTTCTCTTTCTCTCTCGCACTCTTGTCTTCATCTCGTTTTTTTAAAATATCTCTTCGCTTCTGCAGTTCTTTTTTCTTTCTCTCTTTCTCTTGTTTTCATCTTTTCTTTATGTCTCTCTCTCTTTCCTTCTATATCTCTCTCTCTCACACACACTCTTCTTTCAGTCTCTCTTTCTTTCCCTTTCTCCATCTCTTCATTCAATCTCTCTGTCTCTTCCTCTCTCAGTGCTGTTCCTCTCACTGACACACATACACACACACACAAACACACACCCCCTCACACACACACACCCCTTCACAAACACACACCACACAGAACATTGACACTTGCTCATACTCTGTACCACCAACACGGCAACAGCTGTTTTGGTCTGGCAAAAAATGTAAAAATATACATCAGTTTTACACACACACAATGAGACACAAAAGCCAAACCAAAATAAACCCATGCAACTCTTCCACTTCGTAAGATAAGAATACAGCAAAAACGACAACAAAGTTTTCCTTCCATACTTATTTTCTGAAGTAAATCTTTAAAATACATATAAAAATATCTTTCAAAAGAATATATCCATCTCAGAGTACCATAAAAATTAAGTAGTACAAAAAGTTCCACAAGGCAGACTCAAGATAATTTTCACAAAAATTCTGTCCCCTAAAAGTTTTTAAAAAATTTCTTTCGAACTGTTCATTAAAATTTGACAAATGTTTTAAGTTTAAAATTCTTAACATTTGACAAATGTTTGCTAAGCCAATTAACAGGATAAAAACAACAACCCCCCCAATAAATCTTAAGTTAAAAAGGCTGAGGCATTTAGAGACTTGATTCTTTTTGCTTCATAATCAAAACTGGGACGTGGTTCTGAGAAAAGACATTTACTTGAGTCAAAAGTCCGGAAAAAACATAAACACACAGAAGCCTACTCACTCCACTCAAATCTATAAAACAAAAAAACAACAACCCAACAACATAAGAATCTTCATTTTAAACAAAACAACTAAGCTTAGTTCTTACAGAGGTACATTCGACACAGATGAGAAAATATCAAACAAAGATCAAGATTTTTTCCAAAAGATGACACGAGAAAGCCATAACAATAGCTCAACAAACCAATGCTATCTGGAAGCTGCTACAGAGGGTAATGCTTTTAGTATAACAAACAACAAAGAGATTGTTTGAAAAGAAAATTGTAATTGTAAATGAACATATTGTTAGACCATCTAGGTGGCTGGCAGCTTCCACCCTGCCCTGTCAGGGCCAAATGAGGCTGACAGGGAGACTTAGAGGTGTTACAAAGGAGTAACAAACAAAAAAAGGGAAGGGAGATAAGGACGATAGACAACCACCCACGATAACCAAGTAAGAAAAACTTCCCCACATGGGAATCAACCTCATATCTCCCGTGAACGACTACCAAGCATCTTACCATGGCACCACAGACACCAGTGATAATGTTTGGGTTTGGGTAAAGGTAAGCTCATGGACATGACATTTGTTGCAACTTGGGTTCCTCCTTCAGAAAGCATGTCTGAGGCAGAACACAAACATTTAAATGACTCCTAGACAGACATCAGTTGCCCAGTGAAAAGAGTTCACTTCCTTGAAATAGCAAAAACAGTTTGCTCTTTTAAAACGGCAAAATAGTTTGTCCCCTTAAAAACGTGAATGTTCAATATTACCAGCACACAAAGTGCTGGGAAAGATGCACTTCAATCAGGAATTTTTTTTTAACTTCTTAAAAAAACAACTTACACAAAGTTTCCAAAACATGAATATCATAACAATAATTGCATCTATAAAGTACATAACCATGCTCTACAACAGACACAAGAACACTCAGAAACATTCCCGGTCTTCTAAGATGTAAACTGTGTGAGAGGCCAATAAAGTACTCAAACACTAACAAACTGACAAGATCTTTTGTCGTCTGTAGCCAGATACCAATTCCCACCTGGGTGAAGTGAAAAATATTGGTGTAAATTTTTCCCCAAGGGCACAATGTCACAGTCAGACACCTTACACAGTTTGAACCCACAACCTTTCAGTAGCGAGCCCAACAGCCTAACCGCCAGACCACCAATGACATACCTCCAGAAGGGTTCACAAGACTTTCCCATCACGTACATCTGTAAGTGAAATCCATAAATCCAAAACTATAATCAACTAATCTGTAACATACTCAGAACAGTTCCATTCTACAGGGAAGAATCAGTCTCCAGTACCAGGCTGGAAGACAAGAACTGATACTATTTATTTGGAATGAAAGAAGAATGTACACAAAAACAACAAAACAAAAAAATAACCCCCTTACTTATTGCATTATGGACATCACACAAGAAAAAAAATGTACACAAAATGAATTTTTAAAATAATAAAAATTCATGACGCTTTTATATTCGTGAACTGAAAATAAGCAACAGAAATAGCGATCGTTCCCTTCAAAGCATTTCACCACCTTTTTGTTTTATAATGAGGAATTTTGGTAAACAAATTTTCCATTAAGTCAAAACTATTCCCAAATGATAGAAAAAAAATAATACAATAATAATAATAATGATAATAATTATGCTTAGTTCCCTAACTCAACTGACAAACGAAAACCCCAGAACAAACCAAGAAAACAAGCAAGAACCCCCCCCCCCCCAAAAAAAAACAAAAAAACAACAAAAAAAACGTGTACACCTTGTGGAAGCAAAACGACTAGAATTGTACACAATATAGCTGTATATCGTATGGGAAGCTGCTGATGTATTGTAAGACACAAATATATTTCTTGTCCTGGTGGTGCGTAGATAAACTGTCACAAAATGTTCACTGACAGAGCCAATGTTCTCACAGACATGAAAGAAAGAAAAAGAAAAGAAAGAAAGAAAGAAAGAAAGAAAGAAAGAAAGAAAGAAAGAAAGAAAGAAAGGAAGAAAGAAAGAAAGAAAGAAAGAAAGAAAGAAATTGGGCAGAACAAGGAGTCATTTAATTGTGGAAAATGTGAAAATGAAAGAAAGGGGGATTTGATTTTTATTATAGCAGTTGGCACACTTGTCATCACAAACTTGACATTAGCATCCACCAATCTGATTTGTTCAGTGGCAAGTGACATGATCATAAATAAACAACAGTTTTGAAACTAAACACAAGTTATTTTTATGACATGATTATGAATAACAAAAAAAAACACAAAAAAAAAACAACAACAATTCACCCTCCTCCAAAACAAAAAACAATTTCATTTAATTTCTACTGGCCTTAGGACTTGTTCAAAAGTTTTCTACCTTTTTAAAATCCGTACGCCCTGGGGTCATTTTGTACCCTTGTGGTTGTATTCTTCACATTTTAGAATACTTCTAGTGCGAAGATCTCCTTGAAACTTTCAGTATTTCTCAAAAAATCGTTTTGACAGCATAAACGTTTGACACATGAAGGAAACAATATGATATTTGTTTCTGAAACTAGCTACTGACTCTTTACAAAGGATGACGAAGGCCCCCTTGACCTAATTTAAATATGTGAGGAGGCGGACTGTGTAGACCCTGCATGTTCAGTCCTATGGGGCAGAGACGGATACAACACCCCTGTAGAAAGATGTCTGAAAAGTTTCATTTTAAGGCCTTTTCAACCCATTTCTGCCTCCTTACACATCAGAATTTCAAACTGTCAAATAAGTCAACTTGTGAGGATCCACAATTGAGAAGATATTTTCTTAACCAATCAAATCAAACATACAATGAAAACATTCATTTTCTTAACTACATGTAGCTTATTAGTGCTTCCACTAATCGGAATAAAACACACAGTCATAATATATCATTTCTACAGTCTAACTTGTAAAAACTTCCACTAATCAAGTTGATTAATTTTCAAGGTCCATATCAGAAGAATTATGACCCCCCCCCCAAAAAAAAAACCAAAAAAAAAAAACAACAACCCCACCCAGAGGTGCCATCAACACAGATTTCACCAAACTTCATCAAAATGAGTCACTTTTGGAAATTTCAACCAATCATTGTCAAAACAGTCATTAAAAAAAACAAAACATTTTGGCCCACCCAGAATCAGATGTACTCATCATTCCTGCCCACACAGAAGTAGAGGATGGAAGAGACGAGGGCCATCCCACCGGCACCCACCGCCACCCAGAAACTCCAGCCGAAGATGGCAGTGCGGAGGTCGTTGTCGTCTGCGATGACGTCAATGTCATAGTCCAGGTGACCTTTGGCCCCGAACACAGACACGGCGATGGCCACCAGTAAGACTGTGTGTGTGTGTGTGGTTTTGTGTGTGTGTGTGTGTGTGTGTGT